AAAAAATTTTGAAATAGTGCACTTAAAGTAGAAATTGTATATAGCTTTCATAAATAGGGCCCGAACCGGCATTTAGATATATCAAGTTTCATAAAGTGAAGATAATTTGAGATAGTGGATAGAATTAATTGGTGAAGTAAAGATGGGTTAGTGCAGGTATACCAATGTAGTGGAGAGTCTAAAGAGTTGCAGTGAAAGCAATTATTGCTATGAAAGGTCTTAGGATATAGTGTATAATAAAGAGAATATATAGGAAGCTCATTAAGTAGTGTCTTAATTTTGAAGGACTTGAGTTGGTTAAGTTTGAAGTTTGTAAGATTATATGTGGGTTTGTGATTGTAGTTAAAGTAAAGCCAAGTAGATCTCTAATCTATTTGTTGGTTAAATAGAAACTATTCATTGTTCTGTTTTTGAGATGACTACATTACTAAAATATGAGCTTTACAGATAGTTTTAATAAAGTATCTGATAAAATATTCTACTGGATACAGTTCTTCTTCCTATTGCAAAATATAGTATAGATTATAGATATTAGTATAGTTAAAGTCCAGTAATATATGTTGTTTAGCTAAAGAATCAGTTAGATTATTAAAAGTATTGTCAGTGTGAGCCTAAACTTTGTGAAAAGTAATATATAAATTGAAGGACTGGATTAAATTAAAAAGAGAATACTACAGAGGCCATGCATTAAATTTTAAAATTTAGTTAGAATTAATTATAGTAGAGTTAAGCTTAACAAACTTAGAAATAACAGACTGTGAATCTGTATAAATATTGATAAAGAAGTTGTGTAAAGTAGTTAAAATGGCAGATAGGATAGATAAAGTTTAGCTTTGTAAGAAGTTGATCATAAGTGAATCTTGGCTGAGAATTTGTGAGTTATTTGGTTATTGTTATCTACTTGGACCCAGCCTATGTTTATAGAATACTAGTTGGTGCCTATATCAATAACTAATCTATCAGTATAGAAATTAAAAGAGTTATAGGTAAAGTTAGCTATAGAAATTTCAATTAATTTGTTTGTTTTGTCACTTATATGAAAGATTTCTGAAGCAGCAGAGTGGCAAATAGGAATAGATGGGAGTATAGAAGGTAAACTAGAAGGTATTGGATATTTAATAGCAGTTGAAAAGATAAAGTCTATATATATATATATATATATATTTTTCCACTTTGGCTGTCTTGCCAGTGATCCTTTATTAAGATTATTATATGAGTAAATCATACAATGTTGAGCTTAATATTTAGGCCTGACATCCCGCAGTTACTTCAAAGAGCACTTACAAGCGACCAGCCGCACCGAGCCGAACTTTCATTAAAGGACCTCGATAACCTTAGCCTAATGCCTGGGTTAACCCGGGAACTTATATCAGACCACCGCCCTACAATAAGATACCGCCAATATGATGATATCTTTTCGTAGGGAAGTGAAAAAAACAAAAAAAATCCACTAATACTAATACTAATCCTAAATAGGGGAAGAAAAAAGAAATGAAAACTAATACTAAAAAACAAAAACAAAGACGAAATATGGGTAAAAAAGAAAGAAAAGAAATCTGACAGATCATATTTAAAGGCCTGTGTCGGGCTGAAAAAATTACATATTACTAGATAAAGAAGCTCTATAACAATCTCTATCCTAATAAACTATGCTTAAGGGTGAAAAAAGTTAAAAAAGCTGGCCGAAGCTAGAGTACCGTAGTTACTACTAGATAGAGTCAGCCCAAAATCCGAACCAGTAGTCTCGAAGTATTGTTAAACGGTTTTTTCGATAGCGAGGCACGTGTTTGTATTGTCCTATGATACATACTCGGTTGCTTATTCCGGATGATGACTGCTTTTCTGTTTTAGGAAGTAAATAATACCGACTGTTTTGGTAAATTACGTATCGATCTTTTGGAGGGGGTAAGCTAGAACGCCCACTTTTTGACAAAATTTCCTCAAAAAAAGTGGTAGGTCAACGAAACTTTTCTGTGGTTGTTCCTTGTAAGTTTTACAGTTATATAGATAGACCCAAAGTTTATAATACTCCTGGTGTCGACCTTGTCACTCTATGTTCCCAAAATATCCTTTTGGTTTAGATGCCGAATATAATAGAGGAGTCCACCAGAAAAAAAGCTTGACCTCTACAAAAACCAGTCCAAAGTAGACCACACCTTGGTTTTACACTCTTGGTACTTCGTCGACAATACACCTACTTCTGTAGGACCAAGTTTATTATTTACTTCGACATCTTTTATAGCGCTAACCGTAGTTCAGTTGATTGTTGGAAAGAGTTGAATCTATTGAAACTTGGTTAAAGTCTATATAATTGGCATTAAATTTAAAGAATTAAAAGAGGTTCTTCCAAAGAACTGTATAGATGTGATAGCTGATATATTAATAGTGCAAGCTGAACTTATTCTGTTTGAATTAAGATGGTAGCCAGGATATTGTTACAGGATTGTAGCCTTTTTAGTAAAATACAACCAAGTAATAAGGTCACTCAGTGCAGTGATTGACTTTTGCAAATATATATGGGGTGGATGTGTAATTGTTCACTTAACTACACAGCAGGAAGCAAATAGTTCGAGATAGTAACAGTATATAGATAACTTTATTTCATGCAAGAACATAGAATAAACCTTGCCTATAGGAATTACCTAGAGGGGGAATATTATATTTACAAGAAGGGTATAAAGAGAACAGAGTCTAAGTGAAGTATAGAAACTTATAGAATTGGCAGAGAGGGAAAAAAGCACACTTTATATATCTTTTCTGTTCCAAAGAAAAGGTACACAGTGTGTAAAGGGATATTGGGGGATGAGTAACATTAGTGGAGAAAGTTGGGGAATTGTGTTGGAGGAAGTTGAGGGATTGTACTGGGGGAAGTTAGGGAAATATAAACATTACTCAATTTGTTTATATTTATTTATTGTTTGTGAAGAGGAACTTGGAAAAGAGGAACTTGGGGGATTTTGTATCCAAAACACTTGTGTTTGTATAGGGGGAACTTGAGGGACTTTGTGTGAAGGAACTTGGGGGAACTTGTGTTACTTTCTTGTGTTACTTCTTTGTGTAACCCAAAGGACTTTCTTGTAGAACATTGTGTTACCTGAGGTCATGTGAGGTCATGTGACTATGCCACACTTCCAATAGCCAATCAAAATGTTTCTATAATAATGCTATATAATATTCTATCTAAATATATATAAAACTAATATATAATAATATAATAAATATATCCAATATTTTAACTATATAAAAATGCAAATATTTTGAATAATAATAACTAAAAATAACTAAATAATGTTTAATAAAATCTATACTAAAAATCTACTTTGTAACATTTTCCTCGCCTTAAAATTTTTACTCCGTAAAAATGCTATATATAATTATTCTAAATAAAGTTTGTACTCAAGGAGTTAAACAAGATTATTCTGATATGCTGCATAACTTCTGCAGTTCGCAAGTGTTCTCTGTACTCATGTATTTTTGATATAATGAGTCTTTGTCTTCTAAAAATAGCAAACAAGTTTTTGTTTACTAAATTACGCTATAATTATATAGCTTTATCTATTTCCTCTTTTGGCTATTAAAGCACTGTTTTCTCAAAATTCAGGGGTTTCTAAAAATAAAAAAAAAAAATTCTACAATATTCTATCGATAACAAATTCTTTGTCTATTTCCTCCCTTTAAAAAGTGAGGTCTCCGAACTTCATATGCTAATTTGTCGAAAATTAGCTTCTATTTGTTTTAATTGTCTATCGATTTTCTATTCTAACAATCACATTATCAGTTGTAATTGTTTTCTGCATGTATCGTCTGATCTTTTCATTACGGCTAATTGTGTTATTCTTTCTCTAAAAATAGCAACATCACATTGCTTGTCTATTTTGGCAATTGTTTGTGCCTAATTTCTATATCGGTCGATCAAATTTTCTTTCTTGTTCTAAATGCTTCTATTTTCTTCTATTTTTTTCTATTTCTTTGTTGAAATTTCTTTGTTTCTATTTTTATATCTGCTAATCAATAGTTATCTTGTGTCTATTGTTTGTTATGGCTAGTTGTTTATTGATTTTTATTTTGGGAACAATAACAATTTTCATTATTTATTTTCTTGGTTTTTAGTATCATTAAATCCTAAAAATCTTTTATCCACAGCTTTTGGTCTTTATCTTCCTTTTGTCTTTTCCTTTTCTTGTTTCTTAAAGTTTTCTAATATCTTGTCTCTTTTGCTTCTTTTAGTTTATTAAAAACATTTTATTTTTCTCGCTGTTTCTTGTTGTTGTTTTATCTTGCCATTGTTCCAAAGGTGTATATACTTTTCTGGCTATGTGCTAAGTCTCGTCTAATTTAGATGTATGGGGCTTGGCCGGTTATCTATCTTGGTGCACTATATAGTTAGCCCAAGTAGATATTTTCCCTTTATATTTTCCTCTTTTTACTTTCAATGCTCGTAGTCCCTTGTGCTAGTAGGTTAGGGACTTATTTCTATTGGTATAGCAAGTAATGGACCTTGCTTGTTGTATTCTTAGAATAAGCACCTTGCTAATATATTTTTTCTATTTCCGTTTTAGTATATGTATTTAGAAATAATAGTTTCTAATTAAGTTTTTATTTCAGATGCCACATCGAGGAAAAGGAAGTTCAGTTCACAGTCGTTTGGTTGCTCTCCACAACCAAGTTCAAAATTTAGAAGCACAAGTGGCAGTTAGAAATTCTCGGTCCTTCAAAGCAATACAGGAAGAATATATGGGCGCTTTGCAATAGAAAAGGCGGAAACTACTCAAAAAATGAAAAATGAGTTTTTATTAGATTCAGATATATTTTGATGTAGCCAACATTTTTCTATTATAAATGAAGGTCGACTTGCATAATAAAAAGTCAAAGAAAAATTGCACAGGGTTTCCTAAAGCCAAGTGCATCACGAGAATATCCGTTAATCACATCTTATTTTTAACCAATCAAAATCATGAAATTTTGATTAACCCGGATCAGTCTGAAAATCAAAACAACTGATTAAACTCAATTATCTCAAAATTAAATATATTCGAGTATCCACCCTTTCTATTGCAAAGCGCCCATATAAGAGAATCTAGGTATCGGCAACTATTTGTCGAATGGAATAGTTTGTGAGTTCGGGTTGCAAATTCGAAAAATGAGCTCCAGGAGTTGCAGCAAAATACGGCTGAACAAAATGAAACTTCTTTCTGTAATATTTTGTAAATAAAAAT